TACAGGGAGCAAAACAGCAGGCGAGCGCTTTCTCCCGCCGGCTGTGCGGGGGCTTCAACCATCAGCTGCTTAAAATGCTCCTTCAGTACAGGGACACCCTGGATCAACAGCTCGATGCAGAAGGTTTGGGACTAAAACGCTCACCAGACCTGGCCCTGACCTGCGCAAGGATGGGGACGGGGAGTCCAGCTTTCCAGAAGAGTCACTTGAGGCAGCTCAATCCAGAGGAAAAGAAGTTCAAGGTTTCATTTTGCATATTTGTAGCAGCTGCTTATAGGTTTGTAGAGCTGGTTTCGGGAAGCCAACACTTGGTGCTGGAGCTCATAGCTCAGCAAGGGTGGAAGGGAGATGCTCCCGGCCATGGTGGTGGAGCAAACCCACCTTGGCCACGGTGAGGAGGAGACGGAGACTCCCCTCCTCTCGGTGCTGCCTCTTTCATAAGCACTCACAGACCACAAAGCCTGAAAAAAGCTGCATCAGCGTATGGCTCTTGCAGCACCAGGTCTGGAGAGAAGAGGGGCTGGAGTCCTGCCTGGGCAAGGTGAGCTGAAACCCCACCAGCACCCAAAGCCTCCCCAGATGCAGGAGCCAACACCTCCAGCACTTGAGCACAGAATAAAGAGAAGCCAAAAAAAATACTGGAAGGGCTGAACTCTCCAATAAGGTCCTGAGACATGAGCACCATCCAGCTCAGATTGGTACATCCCAAGGGGGGACCCCTCTCGGTCCTGACCTGGCCGTGGCACAAAGGACACTCAGCCGCTGTCCCCAAATGGAACAGCTCATCCCCAGACCTGATGCAGCTCCTACCAAGTCTTTTTTGGGTGATTCCCCTCCTGGCACCCACCAACCACGTTCACTGGGTCTGGACACCCAGCCAAAAGCCCGATCAGACCTGGGCAGAGTTACCTGCAGCTGAGCTTTTACATAATTCTTCCCTATTTGACTTTCACAATAAACCCACGTAACCTGGTTTGTGCAAACTCCTTATCAGTTAGAGCTTCTTGACCTACACCTAAAATTATTTCTCCTGATGGGAATTACCAAAATGAGGTTTCAATTACAAAAGTTTATAAACCCACCCCAGGTTATTTGGCACAGTGGTATTTAATGCTTAAAATATTCCCGTGGGAGCGGGTGTAGGTGTGGATGAGACCCCCCTGGGCAGCAGTTGCTGGCAGAGCTGTGCCAAAAAGCCCTTTTGCCCAGGTCAGGCACAGCCTTTCACCACAAACAGCCAGCCCCAGCTTCATGATTTAGCCTGAATTACACCCGGCTTCGTCTCAGCCCGACGGAGAAACCCAATGGCTCGTGGCGTTAATACGATGTGATAAATAGCTCAAACCGACATAACTTCATTGTTGAGCTGCTGATTCAATCAAGGTCCTAAAACCCATCGTGACCTTGATTTCACGGCTTGATCATAACCAGCATTTAACGAAATTACAGCACTTTAGGCTCCTCGGTGATTGTTTAATCTTAATATTGTTTTCATTTTTCTTCGTGAGACACATGAAGTGAATGGAATCGGTTTATTCTCCTGGTTTTCAACACAGGTCAAAAAAAAATCTCAGTAACTACATAACTAGGATGAGACATTTGAGGCAGTTTGGTGTCTCAGCTTCCATTCCTCACGTATAACAAAGGCTCTGGGCTGATTCATAAGGAATAAAAAGCCTGGCTTTATTGCAACGTTCAGCAGTCACAACCCACAACCACAGCATCTCTCTTGACCGTGACAGACAAAGCTCTGGAGATGGAAAATCTCTCCTGCAGCCTAATTGCACCTGGAGCTGCTTCTAAGCTACGTGAGTCGTCTTCACAGCAAACCACAAGGTGTTTTAAATCATCAACCATTTTAATCCTGCGACGCTTGTCCTCACCTATTAAACCCCATAAACAAGTGCAAGAGACATCGGCCAGGGACTTGCAGGTGACGTGGGACTTGCAGACAGCCCTGGATCAGCTCTCTCCATGCAACGAGCAGCTGATGAAGCTCAGGAGGAGCCTCCTGCAAGTGTCTGTGAGCATCGTTCCACCACCTCATCCCGAGCAGACCTCCCAAAGCTACTGCTCACCAGCCACGAGATAATTAGTCATGTGCAGTGCCTGCTGAGTGTCAGCATTTATTTCTGCTTCATAATTCTGAATTGAGGAGCCACAGGTGAGATGTTTGGGCTGTTTTACTGGGTTTTTTGACCAATCTAGCAGAGCACAGAGCCTGAACCACACTGGAACCCTGGCACCAGCAAACCAGAGCCTGAACAGCCCCAAACCTCCTCTCATCTCAGAGCGAGACGTTACAGAAACCTGGAGCTCCCCGAAGGACAGCACTGTCTCTCCCACCCTCCTCACTTGCAGGCGATGACAAGATGTGGTCACTCAACAAGTGGTGAAGAGGCAGAAAGGAGCGATTCTGCTTCCCGTAGCATTAAATATGAAGAGGGATGATGACAGAGCACCAGACTCCGGGCTGCTGACTGCTACAGTAGCTTAAGTGGATGAGTCTTCAAGAGAAGAGTAAGACGCGATCGCATTATTGAAGGAGATGACTGATGCAGCCACCAGGACGCTTCCATCAACAGCAGCTTCTCCCATGATGAGACGAGTAATTTGCAACAGCCCATTAGGAGAGCTCCATCCACTTGGCGGCCGACCGGCCTGTGGTCCCCAGGCACCAGCCTGATGAAGTCTGCAGCTTCCCGCAAGCATCACGAGATGCCTTCAGCCTCCTTCCTCCTTGGCTTTACAGGGGTGGCTCTGGGCCAGCTGAACAAACCGAGCCACACGCAGCAAAGTTCTCCGCTTTAAGCAAGTCTAGAAAGGTTTTTGTGGAGCAAAACCCCCATGGTAAGACACCAGCAGCCCTGCATATGCTCTGGCTTCATGAAGCCCCAAAACAAGGGTCTCTCTTTGGGTCAGTACCAACACCCGCTGGATCCACCCTTGGAGCAATCCCCCCCAGCTCTCCGATGCCCGGGCTGTAAGAGCAGCATCAAGGGTGGACACTCTTGCTCTCCGATGCTCAGGGTGTAAGAGCAGCATCAAGGGTGGACACTCTTTTTCCATTGGGAGGAATTATCAGCGTTGCCGCCAGCAGAGAACAGAGGGGAAACTGCCCTCTTGCTAAATTCAGCAATTTAACTTGGTGTTTTGATCACAGAAGGGGGGAAAAAAAAAAGAAAGCAGCAAGCGGTTGAGCAGTCTCATAGCTCTTTAAGCTCAAAAGCCATCATAAGGCTTTTTTCAGAGATAAGCGCTTCCTAAATACTTACTGCTGAAAGATTAAGAGAATGAAAGCCTGATCCTCCTTCCCTGCCCAACACTCACAGGACTACCCCATTCCCGCCACATCAAACCACTGCTCCTCTCCCAGCTCCGTAACCCTGATCAACCAGGACCCATCTCCTCCTCCGACGCCGGGTGTGGGATGGGGATCCCAGCACGGCACCAGCCCGGGGGGGTTTGGCATCAGTTCTGCTCTGTTGTCCCTATCAGCAGGTGGGGGATAACAAAACAGGTTTGATCCCCCCCACCTCACCCCAGTTTCCCCACGCTGCGCCTCGTTGCCCAACGGGGCTTTTCTGGCTCAGCAGGAATTGCAGAGCCAGGACTTGCAGGGGCTGAAGCTGCTCAGTTCTCACAAAGGAGCCAGCCCCCCTGTCCCCAGTGCTGTCCCCACACGGGACAGCCACGCTGGGACCCCCCCGTGCCCCCTCAGACCAGCCCAACACCAGCCTGGGAGCTGGGAGGGCAGGAGCTCAGCGTGGGGTGGATGACTGCGGGCGGGATTTTTTCCTCCTTCGGTGCTTAATTCTGATTCACGCCACCGGGAGATGACTGATTTCCCAAATTTTAAGCACGACGAAGAATGTCACTTCCCCAGCACAACCTCCACGGCAGCTCTCTGCCAATGACTTCAGCTGCCACCCCGTACACAGCCCTGGTGAGGGACGTGCCACCAACGTCTAGATCTCCCTCTGGTTTGACACGATACCAGCCCGTGGCATCCAAAGTAACGGATCCTGGTCCCAACATAACACACACCCTCGTGCCTCCAACACAAAACCAGGTAATTTCTGCCTTGAGGGTCCACCTTCCCCTTTTCAAGGTACCACTTGCGCTGCAGTCACTCAATGGACTTCACTCGAGCAGCTGGCAGCCAGAGCTTGCAGGTAGATGCAGCAATTTTTCAGTGAAATTTGCCATGTTCCAGGCAAACCTCAAACTCCAGACTTCAGAATTCATGAACCCCCACCGTGAACGCATCAGTAACCGGGGTGTCACAGCCCACCACATCCCTGGGATGTGCCCTGGATGCTCTGCCATGAGACCCCGACCTCCGAACCGTGCCCACCCCACGGCACAACCCTCCCAGGAGGGACCCCAGCCCCTCGCAGCCGGGACCCCGTGAGCACACGGTGCCTGGTGGGCGTGCGAGCCCCCACGCCGCGATCACACCGCGGTGATTCACCGCAGCCACCCCCGGCCCGTGCCGCCACCGCCCCGGCGAGCTGGGGGAAGGGGCGCCCCGGCAGCAGGCACAGACAATATTTAAGCAAAACACCATCCAGAGGAAGATGGAGCTGGCACAACAGAAATTAATGATCTTTTTGGGTTCATTCATTAAGGGAAGGAGAAAAAAAAACCAAACCAACCACAAAAGCAGCACCAGGAGCCATGGATGGAGCAGGGTTAGTCACCACCGCACCGCCCGGCACAACATCTGCCATCAGTGGGGCTCACAGCCTCCCACGGCGGGGGGGGCCACGAGACCATCACGGGCTGCCACCCCCTCCCTGTCCACACCTCCCACACCCCCCACGCTCCCCTAATGCTGCGGCGCCCACTCCTCTGAAAAAAACCCCAGCAAACCCTTATCTAAAGGCTTGCAAAAGCCAGGTCCCCCCCCTCCCCAGCATGTGGGGAGCACCCCCCTGGCCTGTAGGGGGGATGCAGTAGGGGATGCTGTGCTCTGCCCTCCCCATCCGGGGTCCTACCTGCAGCTCCTTGTCCGAGTACTTCTGGGGGTTTTTGCTGCCTTGGCTCTTCTTCCGAAGTTTCTTCAGCTCTGCCTGGCACTTGTCGAGCGAGTCCCCTTTGCTCCTTTGCTCTGTCTGGTATTTCTTCAGGGCAGCCTGGATGGGGCAGGAGAAAACTCTGAGCATCCAAAGCTGAGTCCCTGCTGGAAGGGTCAACACCCAGAGTGGGGCATCACCCAAAATGCCATTAATGAAGAGCTGAGGGTCTCCCTGCATTTAAAACTGGGACGGTACAAGTAAGGAAACCAAACTGCTTGTGGCTGGGAGATACTATGCCGTTAGAACTGCCCCCCATTTCTCAGGATGCGAGGTGTGGGGCAGGATGGAGGGGGTGCCTGCTCCCCACAGCCATAGCAAGCGTGGGGTGCCCCACACGGCCACCTGCTCTTGGCTCCCTTGCTTTTTTTTTTTTTTTTGA